GAGCACACCAACTGTCATTCTCTTCTTTCACCCTCTGATACCCCAAAGTGAACGTCGTAGAAAACTATTGTTCCACAGCTTCTGCATGCTCCTGGTGAAAGACCTGGCAGACCACAGACTAGGAGAACAGCACTCTCCTTACCCTCTCCATACAAGCAGTTTGTCCGCACCGAAAACCCTGCTCCAATTGAGCCGACACTAGTTGACTTTCTATTTTCACGCTTACATCATCCCTTTATTTCTTGTGCATTAGTCACTGTTCAAGTGCTGACTGCTCGTATTTCGTCCACTTGTTTTGCCCACACTCTCGATCGCTCGCACCACACCGCACTTAGCCTCCATCTCTTTCCATCTCTCACTCTCTCCTGACCTCTCACTCTCTTGACCATGACAGTAAGTACCAGATTCAAATTTTAACTCATTTTATTGACATTTTTTTGCTTTTAGTCTAACAACGTTAACAAAACGGGAGAGAATTCCCGTAACTCAACAGATGTGAACTCTGTTTTGACTCAGAATCAAGACTTTGCGGCTTTCCGAACTGCGAAGGAGCACATTAAACTTTCAGAACAAGTAGTGCGTAACCAAAGTAAGTTTAATTATTTGATAAATGTAAAAAATCAACCATTTTTAATAACATCTTTTTGCTTTCAGTCAATCAATTAAAAGCCAAGCGGGCAGAATTGGTGGCTGACCCAGGAAATGCTTTACTTAGGCGTCAAATGTAAACATTTAGCCATTCAGCATTAGCCATGTGTACATTCTTTTCATTTCTTTTCCCTACACAGCAATGAAATTGCCGAAACTTTAAGGAAAACTCTGGCTGACTACAATTCCGAGCGATTGGAATTTCTTGAACTTCAGTCGGACGTCCTAGATGTGAAAATAGAGTAAAACCCCTAACAACTGTCTTCTGTTTTTAAAACTTTTTATTCTTCTAGAGCCGAACAGGACATTGTAAAAAAGACGGCTATGATTTACAGCCAGGTGAAAATCGATAATGAAATCACAGAATTAACGTCTGAGTACCTGCTTAAGCAATACAAAACACTTGCTCAAAAAACAGCTGCACGAAGGGATAAAATTGAACACATTCGTACAATCTCTAAAAAAGTTGACCAAACTGCTGCCGAAGAAAGTTTGGCTACAGCGGCTTCAAGCTATGTAAGTGTTGTAGTAGTGGTACCAGTTTGTTAATGCCTAACTATCTACTTTTTTCACCCATCTGCACAGAAAAGTAATATTCTTTAAATTTTTTTCTTTCGGTTAAGGTTTTGAAAAATGAAAAAGTAATTGTCTACGCATGCACCAACGCGAACAGAAAAACGAATGCTTGTTTTGAACCTCATATTCAATAGTAAATTTCTCGAAAACCATTAAAGTTTTTTAATTTTGCTTTTGCCAGAATGTTCATTGGGCCTTTTTCTTTTGTCTGGGCGTGTTAAAAAGTGCAAAAGTACTCAAATTCGGTTTTTCATTGCAGTAATTTCATAAAAAACTTGTGTTTTTTTAACTGTTCATATCTCGAAAACTATTTAAGTTTTTGAGATTCTGTTTTCACTAAAATGTTCCGGAAGCCTTCCTCTTCAGAATTGCGTATCAAAAGAACCAACAAAGAATCATAAACGCTCTTAAGACTACAAAGGAAACTATTGTTCCACAACTTCTGCATGTTCCTGGTGAAAGACCTGGCAAACCACAAAGAAACCAGCACTCTCCTTACCACCTCCATACAAGCAGTTTGTCCGCTTCAGAAAACCCTGCTCCAATTGAGCCGACACTAGTTGACTTTCTATTTTCACGTTTACGTCATCACTTTATTTCTCGTGCATTAGTCACTGCTCAAGTGCTGACTGCTCGTATTTTGTCCATTTGTTGCTCACACTCTCGATCGCTCAGACCACACCTCATTTAGCCCCTATCTCTCTCTCTCTCACTCTCCTTCCCTCTAAAAAAAATACTTGCACAACTCAAAGCGGCAAAGTAGTGGGTGTAAGCTATCGGGGAACAGTTAAAGGCTGCGTGGTCTGGCGGGGCCCGAGGCGGCGGAAGTTTAAAGCGTACAAGCGATGTCGGGTGAGCCGCCGG